ACTGAAAAGGGATACAAGGGTGGTGATGGTAGTGGAGGGGAAAAAAAAAAATTAAAATCACTGCTCGCAAGCAAATGTACGCCAGCATGTCACAGCAACAGCGTTTGCAGGCAGGGAAGCTGCCAGGTAAAGCCAGACAGCAGCAGGCATCTACTGTGGGAGAAGGGCAGTGGAACGGTGAGTGCTGCCCACGCCTGCCCACCAGCATGCACGTGAAAGGACCTGCTTCTGCAGGAGCAGTTTCCTCCTGGGGCGGGAAAAGCTGGTCCATGCTATGCTTTTGCCATGCCAAGCTGGCGAGGCAGGCAGAGCAGGGCAGCGTCCCTGCAGCAGGGTGAGCGATCCCCTCCCACGCCACGGGCACCGGCCGCTCCACCAGCGGGACACCAGACAGCGCCCAAAGCCCAAGGACTGTGCGGCAGAGCTGACCCTAACCCCTACGGCCACCAAGCTGTTCATCAGCGCCTGAGCATGGCGATGCAGGATGGCTCAGAGTTCAGGGGAATTGCACATGCCCTGGTGCAGTCTGGTCGGGCAGGATGGAGCTCTGCCTCTCCTGCAGAGCTTCGCCAGACACTGTCTCGCTGCTAGGCAGCTAATACAGACAGGGAGTGGTTTTGCTGCTTCCATACCCTTCCAACACAGCCTGAATTTATTTATTTTTTTTAAAAGCAGCATAATATCAGAGCAGTGACACAAAGGCTTACAGCTTCTCCTAGCAGCTAAGTTTTCCCTGGTGCATGCAAGTCCACATGCCCACACAGCCCCACAGCTGGATCTTCTCCAGCAGTACAGCCATGACACCCACCTATCATTTGCTTCTGCTCCTGAGGAGGGGCTGCTGCAAGCATAGATGCTGTCAGTGGCTCCTGCCCCTGGACATGCACAGCAGGTTCTCCCGCCTGGAGAAAAAACAGAGAAGAGCAGCAATCAAAGGCTGGAGCGACGTGCGAGTTACCTGGCGTGCAGGAATGGTGCTGGTCCCCAAACACAGTGGAGCATTTCCCCCTCCCGAGATGCTGATGCAGACTCCGGGATTGCCTGTTTGTATCCAAATGCTGGCTTCCAGGAAAGCTGGAGCCAGGCATCGCAGCTGCACGGCTATTGGATCCATAGCCCCAGTTACCCCAGCAGCCCCCAAGAAAAGTCCCCATAGCACTAGTCATGAACAGAGCCATGGGGCTGCCTGGGGTCAGTAGTCACGTTAACCCAGAGCAGGACCAGGACTGAATGCAACGTTGCGGTGGCTGTGCCAAAGCCAGGAGCCCACAGAGCTGTTACCTGCGGGGCCACCACGGGCGGGTGGGCATTCCTGACAGCTGAGGAGTACTTGTACTGCGGGGCACCCCGTGGCAGGGTGGGCGAGGAGGGCACCCGGGCGCTGACCGTCTGCGTCCCAATGTTGGCTGCAACAGGGATGGGAACATTTCTAAGGAGGAGCCCATTAAACACATGCCTGCACTGGGGAGGCTGAAGCCACAAGGGCAGTGTGCTCAGCCAGAGGGTCCAAAAAATTCCCCCATGGGCTCAAAGCAGCCCCCAGGTCAAAGGCAGCTTCCCCAGGACAGGCAGGGCACTGCCATCCTGCCCGCTGGGCTGGGGCGGTCTGATTTTGTGCAGGGGACAGGAGAGCTGGCAAAGGCACCTAACACCTCGTTGTCTCTCCTCCAGAAATGCCTATCTGCTTCAGCAGCCAGAGGATGAGGACAGCACCGAGAAGGGTGGGCTGCAAGAGCAAGTGCCCCTGGGCCGCAGCTCACCCTGGCTCCCCTCCTGCAGGGAGGCGAGGGCAGAGAAACGAGGGGACAAGGACAAAGGGAGAGGGGACGAGCCAAAGACAGCCCTCCTCGTTCCCTTACTTGCTTCAGCAATAAGACACTCAACACCACAGATGACCTTGGGCTAAACTGCACAAAGCTGGGAGGGTTCTAGGTAGATGCTGCCCCACCAGACGGTCCTATGTTTTGGGGGGCATCAGACCTTCACCCACTCACGAAGTGGGCAGCTTCCACCCTACACTACTTAAGTCTCTCCTCAAAGCCTGTCCACAGAGGAGCCTCAGAAGGGGCTACGCTGTGAGCCCCGGTGAGCATCCTCCTCTTCCTCACTCACACAAAAGGCAGGGGGGTGACAGGACAGACACGGGGTTGAAGCAGTCTCGGGGTGAGGAGTGCTCTGGGCACCACGTGCAGGACAGAACCTGGGTCACCACCCCACCAGCCCTGCAGTGGCACAGCCACGTCATGCTGGCAAGGTGGAGGGGACGCCCCGGGACACAGGGACAGCCCCAGCACAGCCAGGCACTGGGGATGCCAGCAAGGTCTGGTTCTCAAGCCACAGCTCCAAACACCTCTAACATGAGTGTGTTTTACTGGAGGCTTGGCCTTGGCAGCAGTTCAGCCAGAGCCTGTAAGAACCTCTGCTTCTGCCCAAGAGGTCCTTTCCCAACCTCCACCTCAGTATGAGCACTAAGCCTAGGGTGCTGTGACTGCATTGTCATCATCTTTAACGAACATATTCAAGGAGCAGCAGCCAATGAGACCAATCTGCATATCAGAGACCTGTCCCATTACCTGAAAGACCACAACCTTCCCCAAAAGTTACATGCTTATTTACTACAGACACCGCTCCAGTCCCATCACACCCGAGGGCAGACTCTTCCATGAGCAATCCCACAAACCATTCCATCTTCAGAGGCAGACCCAAGCTCACAGCAAGCACCCTTGCCAATGCACAGCCGCTACGGCGATGTCCGAGCCGGGTCCTTCCCCCACTCACCCACTCTCTGGGCCTGGGGGGGCACGCGGGGCACCTGGGTGGAGGCCTGTCTCATGGTGCTGATGTTGGACAGCAGGCGCCGAGGCGGCACGGCAGCCCTCAGGATGGGGGTAGCTGCAGGATATGCTGCTGTAGAGATGGAGCATAATTAATAAAGCTTCTTGATAGCAAAGACATGGAAGGACACGCGGTGGGGGAGCGACTGTGGTGGGGGAAAGGTCAGGAGCACCTCATCTCCAGGGCCAACCCTAGCATCTCATCCCCTGGTGCCCATCACCATGACCCGTGCACCAAACCCCCGTGCAATTCTCTGGGCAACAGCCCCCCATGGCTACATGCTTTGTGCTGCTTTTACAGACCCTTGGTCTCTAACCAAGCCCAGCTCATGCCGAGAGCTCCCAGGGAGAGACAGGCTGACTCACAGGGAGGCCGGGAGGGCTGCGCACTCCAGCGAGTGGCATGACGGACTGGGATAACTGGGCTGGGGCTGTAGAAGGTAGCTCTGGTTTGTGGCTAGGAAAGGAGAACACGTTATCCAAGGTGACTTGGGAGCTAAGCCAGATCTAACCCAGAGCATCTCAGTGGCTGCGGCACGCAGACAGACAAGCCAAAACCATGCTCTGCAGCATGCCAGGGCACTTAAAGATCAACATCCAGTCCTGCTGCCTGCGTGTCCTCCAGCAGCTCCACTTATCTCCTCCCCGTGAGCTTTTGCACCTCTGTAACCCTTCTCCCTCCCCTTGTTTCATCAGCAGACTTGTGGTCCATGCTTACACCCTCCCACCAAACTCCTCCTTGGTTCCCTCCTCTGAGGAGCAGTCAGTAGCTACTAAATCCCCAGCCCCTCGCCTGGAGCACCCACACCCCACCAGCATTTTGGCAAGCCCTGCCGCTCACGCAGAAGCCCAGCACTGATCCCACCGGTCCCACTAATCCCACGCCAGTGTGCGCCCGGGGCTGCACAACCCAAGATAGGCTCCTTGGCCCGACTCCCACTCCCCTCCTCCCACCCAGGGCAAATTCGGGTCCCCATGCAAGGCTGCCATTCAGGAGCGGGGACTCACCTGTGGGATTGGGGGTAGGAAGTACCCTGGGGGGGGCTGGAAGGAGCCCAGGAGAGGGCCAGGCAGGGCCCTCATGGTGGCTAATCTCTGCATGTACTGGTTGGTGAGGATTGCTTTCCGCTCCTCTTTCCTTTGAGCGAGCGCGACGTAGAGGGGCTTAGTGCTGACGATCCGTCCGTTCATTTCTGTCACGGCCTTGGTAGCCTCTTCTGGGGAGGAAAAACATACAAACCCAAACCCTTTGCTGTGGCCACCCTCTGTCATCACCTAAAATTGGATTAGAACAAGACAGCTAAGTCCACAGATCACTGCAGTAGCCACGAAGCACGGCGCAGCGGGGGAGTACACAGGATCTGCCGGCCGCGGGCACCCCATTGCAGCCCTCACGTCCAGGGCGGGATGGATGGGGCTGTGCCCGTGGGGCTCCACGGAGAGGCTTCTTCGGGGAAGGGGAGGATTTGCTCAGGCAAAACGGGTAGGTTTGGGAAATGAAGACGGCAGAGTCTGGGCCAGCCTGAGATCTGCAGCCTGTGATCTTCCAGGGGGTCTGTGCCCCAGCCCCGCAGGACCCATGGGCCAGCAATGCTCCGGTGCTTAATGCCACAGGAGCCAGCAAGGGCTGGGATCAGTGGGATACCGTGCCCTGCCCGAGGGCCAGGCAGCATCTGTCCCTGGCAGCTGGCAGGTTACAGGTATCTGACCTTAAAAGCCAGACCATCCCTCTGCACCCGTATGCACGGCCTTCGAGAGAAGCTTGACATCAGTCTTGGTGGCAAGACTGACACTTTTATGGTTTTCCAAAAGGCAAAACACCAGCCTGTCACCACGCTCTCCCCACAGCGAGGTGGCTTGTGGGTCATTTCCATTGTGCAATATTCAGAATGATGTGGCTTTTAAGGTCCCATACCCTGCACCTCAGTGGGGCTGGGGTAACTCAGCAAAGCTACAAGATACTTGCTGAATCAATAAGCTCCTCAGGACAGCGTGGGGTACAACTGGCATGTCAGTTACACTTGGCTTGAGATACAAGCCATCAGCAGGGAACTATAACTCAACAGGATGATAATCCTGAGCCATTTCTAAGGGCTGAGCACACTGGCCGGCTGACCCCAGGAGCCCCAGCGACAGTCCCAGTCCCTCACCTTGGCACTGGTGATGGTGCCATAAGGAGAGAACTCCTTCCTCAGCCTCTCATCATCTATCCCGTCATCCAGGTTCTTCACGTACAGGTTGACCCCCTGCAAACAGGCAAAAAAGCAGCTTGGGCTCCCAAAGTTTACAGCAGCTTTTCAAGCTGGATGCGTGTTTCGCCAGCAGCTCAGCCAGAAGGTGGGATGTCCCACAAACACGTCCTCTCCAGAGCTGCCTCAGGACCGGTGATGTGGAGAGGAGCCAGGACCGCACGTGCGCTCCACTCGTAGGCGAGACACCCCGAGTGAAGAGGGCACCCAGACTATCGCTATGAAGCTGCTCCAAGGCCTCAGGAAGCTGCCTCATTTCCAGACTAATATTTTAATTTCTGGAAAAGAGCAAACCCATTTGTTCACCTGCCAATATCATCCTGGGTTTAGATCTCTCTCCTCTTTCCTGATACTGCTTCTCAGGACATTACCAGGCAGTGGATTCCTGTGCAGGTCTTAATCGCAGAAGGGACCAGCACACTGATCTGCTCTGGGGAGCCCTGTGCTGTTCCCAAGACAAGGATGTCCCTGGATGCCCTGGCCATGTCCCTGCTGCAGACTTCAGGACGGAGCATCCCGCTCTCCCCTTACCTGGTACCTGCTCACTCGCTCCTGCTTGATCTGCTCAAATTTCCGCTTCAGCTCACTCTGGCGCTCCAGCCGCTTCTGGGCTCGGCCCACGTACACTATCCGCCCGTTGATCTCCTTCCCGTTCATGTCGGCCACCGCCTGCCAGTGGAGGGAAGGGCTCTGAGCACAGCGGGAAGCCAAGAGCCATGGCTCTACTCTTCACCCACCCCCCCAGTCCAGCCCCACCATGAGCAGAGACCTCCCTGGGCAAGGGCAGGGAAGCAGCTCTGCTCCCCTTTGCCAGGTCCTGCCCATCCAGGCACCCCTGCCAGTACCAGCACCCAGGCAAGCACAAAGCCAGTGAGGTTGCCCCGCAAGGAGAGGTGGGAACATCAGCAGGGCACAAGCTCGGGGCTGAGACAGCAGACAGGTAGCAAGGAGCCTCTTGCCTTCTGGGCTTCTTCGTGCTTCTCGAAGTTGACAAATCCAAAGCCCTTTGAGCGGCCAGTGCTGTCCATCATGACTTTGACACTTAGCGTCTTTCCTGCAATAGGAAAGGGAAGTATCTGTCTGAAGAAGGGTGCCCACTGAGGGGGTGCTGCCAGCATGCAGCACCATGCTTGGGAGCCACCACGAGATGCCAGTCCAGCGAGGAGACCGGACGGCCATGGCAGCATGGAGGAGCCAAGCGGGAGGACAGACAGTGGGATCCCTGCTGCAAGGCAGGAATGGGAGGCTGCCTGTGTCAGTGAGGGCAATCCCTCCCGCCCTGGATGCTGCTTTCATTGTTCTTGGCTCTTCAGTTTCTCTAGCTAGTGCACTGAGTTCCTTCAGCCAGAAGTTATCATCTCCCTTATACATGAACACATATACTGGGTTCGTATGAAGGGTATTCACAAATTACCTGAGATAACACTGGCCAAGCATGGACAGTATTGGTCCATGGGCTGGTACAACACTAAACCCTGTCACAAGAGGCATCCTCCAGCAATGGGCTAAACTGAAAAGCCTTTTTTGCTTTAAATTCAGACTCAGCATCTCTTATTCCCAGGGCTCCTATAACCAGACAGCACACTAGTTTCAAGACAATTTAAAAAAACAACAAAACAAACAAAAAAACAACAAACACTTCTGTTACTCAAGAAAGTAAAAAACTTCTTTTTTTTCAGGAAAGCACCTAATACAAGTTATCCTCCATCATAGCAGCAAAATTGTCAGGACATTACATGCACTTAAGCCACTGCACTCCTTTGGTGAGGTGTTGTTTCAGCAAGTCAGACCCTGTCAAGAGAAGGGGCTTGGTATTTCAGGCAAGCTCTTTCCCCAGCTTTCTTTGCAGTTGCCCCAAATCCAGTTTATCAGACATGAGGATACTTTGCTTCAACAACTGTACTCACCAAACTTGGAGAATATTTCCTGCAGTCTGTCATCATCCATGTCATCCCCAAAGTTTTTGATGTAGACGTTGGTGAACTCCATCGCCCTAGCCCCAAACTCTGCCTCACGCTCTTTGCGGGATTTGAAATGGCCAACAAATCTGCAGGAAGCAAGGAAAGGGACATGAAACCCTCCGTGTCAGGCACAGGCACATCTGTCTCGGTACAGTCCATGAGAGACCCCGTCACCTCAGGCCATGCTTTGCTCACCCATAAACCCACCCTGTGTTTCACATCCAACAACTTCAGCATGTCCCACTCTGGTGTTCCCCTACCCAGACCCCAACTGGCACTACTGGAATGGGGAGAGTGGTGACACAGGGCACAGCCCTGTGCTGGGGATGTCACCCCAGGAGATGCCAAAAGATCCCAAAGAATGCCACCAAGTGCCAGCTCTCTTCCTCTGAGGTATCCCCAAGCCTCTTGGGCAGCCGCTTGCCTCTGCAGAGGCAGGGACGTAGAGAATAAGGTGACGCAATGTAAGCGGAGAGCCAAAGAACAACAAAACCTCTTCCTGCCCAGATTATCTGATGCTGACAGCTGAGATCGAGGACCAGCCCTGCTTCGTGGGCAAGTGTTACACCACCTCAGCAATTAAACACAGCCCGGGCTTGGACTCCTTCCCTACCATCAGGAACGGCTCCAAACCCCTATCACACTTCCACCAGCATTGCCCACGAGTGACTCACTGCCCCGGCGAGCAGCAGAGCCACTGTACCCAGCAGGGACTGGGTGGGAAGAGGGGAGAAACCAGAGAGCAGCAGGAGGTGGCAGCCCAAGCAGAGCAGGCATTTGCTCCGGAGTGTGCACCAAGGCAAGGGAGGAGCAAAGCCAAGTGCCGAGCCAAGAAGACGCTCTCCTCTCCGGCACTTACACCTTCCGGTCGTTGAGCAACATCCCATTCATGGTCTCGATGGCCCGAGTCGCTGCCTCGTGAGTCTCAAAGTGAACAAAGCCATAGCCACGGGATCCGTTTTCATCACAGACCACCTACAAACACAGAGGAAGGAGGAGGAAAAAGACACAGACACTGGTGTTCTCCACACCTGCACACAAGTAAGTCGCAGCAAAACCCACCCTCATTTTTCAGGGGCATTTACCCTCCCTGACATCCTGCTCCCGCTGCAGCTGAGCCGTGTTGGGATGTTGGCAGCAGGTCAGGGAGCTGGGTGAGCCCAGGGCCAGACCCTTAGTGCTTTATATGATGCCCAGGAGCTTGTGGCTCACCAAGACCCAAGTGCCATTGATGCACTGAGCTCAGACAGGACAACATACATCTCTGTGCAGGCAATGGAAAGAAGGGGGGCAGGGGGAAAAGTCCCCATTTGCAGGGAAACATAGCAGGGCCTTTTGGCTTCAAAGCAGGTGGGAACTGAGGAAACTTCATGGGAAGCGAAATGAGAAAGTGAATTTCAGCTGGCTGGAGCATGCTGCCGAGAACGCAGGGCAGCTCTGCAGCAAGCCCTCTCCTGCCCATGGGCGTGTGTACCTTGCACGACAGGATGTTTCCGAAGGCAGAGAAAGTGTCGTATAGGGCTTTGTTATCAATGGAGTCGTCCAGGTTCTTGATGAAGACGTTTCCAACCCCCGACTTCCTGAGCCCGGGGTCCCGCTGGGACCACATGATGCGGATGGGACGGCCTTTGATCACTTCAAAGTTCATGGTGTCCAGGGCTCGCTCAGCTGGTAAAGAAGTGAGTACAGGGGGAAGAGAGGAGGGTAACAGAAACAGATCTCCTTCACATCCTACAGCAGCTGAGATGGGCACAGGAATCAGGGATACTGTTGGACAGAGGCTCGTTAACCTAAATGAGACAGGCAGCTCTGCCTCCCAGGGCAGCAGGGCCAGGTAGGGGCTGCTCTCCCCCCCCCCCCCCCCCCCCCCCCTTCTTTCCCCCCCCCCCAAAGCATGTCTGACTCCCGCGGGATCATCCATTTCACTGCAAGATCCAGTTTGGCAGATGCCCAACTCATTTACCCAGTAAGGATTTTGGTCTCCAGGGCAACTAACCCAACACCTTCCCATCACCACTGCCTCACTCCAGCATGAAACACCTTTCGGTTTCAGCACTGTATCACTGCGATGCCTGCCAGGAGAGGGGCTTCACTTCACGCCGTGAGCCAGCAGGCAGTTGGCTGCCCTGGGGAAGGGCAGAAGGAGTTTTGGTGCCCTTCTCCATCAGCTTTTGGAGGGAGGTGACTCTTGCAAGTCACCTTCCTCCCCCCACAAGCCCAAAGCCCAGCTGCTGCATCCTCTCCCAGTCCTTAAGAAGAGATGGGAGTGGGATGGGTCACCATCTGAGAGCACACTGGGATTAGTTACAACCAAAACTCAACATCAGCAGAATATTGCCCAAGCCCCAACAGCTGATGCATCCATTCAGACAACTGCTCCCCCCTTTTCCGCTGCCTGCCCTTCCATCTCTTGCATGCCCCAAGCCCCTGTTGCGAGGCAGCTCCTTGGGGCTGTGTTACAGGGAGCGTACCATCCACAGGCTGCTGGAAGTTTATGTAGGCATAGCCCAGTGATCGGCGTGTGGCAACATCCCGACAGACTCGGATGGACATGATGGGCCCAGCAGGCGAGAACTTCTCGTAGAGCATGGCTTCGGTCACATCCGGGTGGAGGTCTCCCACGTAGAGAGACGCTAACGGATAGCCAGGGCCACTAGCGTTCATGGTCAATCACAAAGCTCAGCTGCAGAGGAAGACAGACCCGAGGCTTCAGAGCACAGGTTTTGGATCACACGCAGCAACCACAGACCCACGCTGGGGCTGGCCCCACCACAGCAGTGTGAGCCATGCCCTTCCCACCAACAGTGGTAGGGCCAGGAATGCCCTAAAGATGCTGCAGTTCCCAAATTTTTCAGGGACATTTCAATGTCGGTGCAAAAGCTGAGCTGCAGCGATCTGCACATCACAGCCCTCCCACACCTGGGCAACAGCCAGAGGGGTGCAACACACCCCACAGCCCGATTTGCTCCTTTCGGCACTCAAAACCCAAGAGAAATAAAACGGGAGTTTAATTCCTCAGAAGGTAAATAGCCCTTTGCCACCAGGGGCTTCCATTTTAATTCCTCCCTAACGGCTCCCTCCAGTTGGCCGCTCAGCCAGAGCAAACCCAAGGAGCAAAGGTTTGCTTTGATGCACAGTGCTGCCCTGCCAGGGCAGCAGCTTCCCACGAGCAGCCCTGCAACCCACGCTCCCAGTGACCCTCTCCATCTCTAAGAAGGCAAACACAGGTTTTTAGCCAGCCTTTCTCAATTTCTCAGCTTGCTGACGAGGCCCTCAAAGCAGGAAAACTAACGCTCAGTCTCTCACTGGTTTTAGCTGGGTATAAAGTTGCGTGTGAAGATGACAGTCGCTGTCTGAGACCCCCGAGGTACTGGCTGGGAAAAGAGAAATGCAGCTCCTGCCCTGAGAGCTTATAAGCCCATCTTTGGGGCTCTTACCTTAAAGCTCAAAAGACCCGAGACACTTATCAAGATACCCTACGGATGCCCAGAATAAACGCAGACGCATAGGAGAGCTGCATTAAGCAATCCCTCAGTCAAAGGCGAGTCAGCACGGCGGGCAGAAGATGGAAGAGCCGTGCATCAGCCCCGTGAGCCAGCCCCGCTCCTCCCGCGGGCCTCACAGCAAGGCCGGCAGCAAAACAAAGTCGGGCTGAGAGCGCAGACCCAGCATTCCCCTGCGGCTGGCGGGGCAAAGAGCGAGGGAAGGGAGTTAAGAACGGAGAGGAGGAAGGCAGAGCGGCGAGGGTCAGGCAGAGATCCTGCCCGGCCCGGGCAGCA